TCCCAGAGAATCCTAGGATAAATCCCATCCGGCCCAGGGGACTTATCTATTTTCACACCTTCCAGAATTGCTAACACCTCCTCCTTATGAACCTCAATCCCGTCTAGTCTAATAGCCTGTATCTCAGTATTCTTCTTTTCCTGTGTGATTACTGACAAAAAATATTCATTTAGCGCCTCTCCTATCTCTTCGGACTCCACGCACAACTTCCCACTACTGTCCTTGACTGGCCCTAATCTTACTCTAGTCATTCTTTTATTCCTGACATACCTATAGAAAGCTTTAGGGTTTTCCTTGATCCTACCTGCTAAAGACTTCTCATGTCCCCTCCTGGCTCTTCTTAGCTCTCTCTTTAGGTCCTTCCTGGCTTCATTTCTGATGAAGGGTCTAGGCCCGAAACGTCAGTCTTCCTGCTCGGCCTGCTGTGTTCATCCAGCTCTACACATTGAATTTTTCAAAGAGGTGACCAGGTGTGTAGATAACAATCAAATTGCTCAGACATGGCCTCCCCTTAAGAAAACCATGCTGACAGTTCTTGATAATCCCATTTCTCCAAGTGCAGTTTATTGTGTCCTTCAGAATTGCTGCCAATAGATTTTCCACTGAAGTTAGACTGATTGGCCTGTTGTTTCCAGGTTTATCCCTTGCTGCCTTCATGAATAATGGTACCACACTGGCTGTCCTCTAGTCCTCTGGCACCTCTCCTGTGGTCAAGGAGGAATTGAACATTTTTGCAAGCATCCCTGCTATTTCTTCCCTCGCCACACTCAACGGCCTCGATATATTTCGACCAGACCTTGATATTTACCTAATTTTCAGCCTGCCAGACCACTCAGAACATTGTCTCTGTCTATGCTAATGTTTTTTAGCGTACCACATTTCTTCTCCCTAATTTCTACACCCACACTGTCCCTCTCACCAGTGAAAACTAAGACACATACAAATTATTTAAGGGGCCTAATCTTTCCCAAATTATTTGTATACACTTAAATGTACTTGTAAAATAACTTAGGATTTTCTTTATTTTAATTACCATTGCCATTATCCTTTCATGACCCTTTTTGCAAGACATCTCCCCCGCCAACTTTGAGGAAGAAACCGAGGATCCATCAGAGAAAGCACCAGCTCAGTTGCCTCCTGCACCCTCCACCAACACAAGACACTGAGACCTCGCTGGGTATTTTAGGAGCACTTGCTGGTGAGCACATCACTGCCGATTCTCCTACAGCTGATCATGGAAGAAATGCCCAAGGTCACTGACAAGGAAGACAAGGCACCAGCTCAACCCAAGGCAAGAAACGTGGTACTGGTTACAACTTCATTGAAATGCAAAGGCAGACATGGGAACAGCTATTGGAGAACTGGCAGTGACCAAGTGCACAATTGCCTTCTCAGAGAAAGGAATGGCATGCAAGATTTGGTGGGGGTGATGTCTTCATAAATAACTTAGAAACTTTGTAGGAGAAAGTGCACAGTAAATCAGGTAACACTTAAAATAAGTAGGAACAAGATAGGTTGTGAAGAACATAGAAAAAAAAATGTGAAAAATAGAAACATAGTAAATCAATGGGATGGAATTGAATACAGCATTCAGAAATAGGGGCGTGTCCAGAAAAGGTAGAGTGGACAAATGAAGTGATGCAGCCTTTTTTCTTATAAGAAATCATTTAGTGGAAGAGATGAAGCTACAGATATACTACCCTAGTTGGACATTTCTAAAGCCAAAAATTCTAAAAAAACACCAAATAGACTAAAGATTGCCAGTAAGTACTAATAGCACATATTGCTGCATGAATATGTAGGGCAGATATGTGAAAATGTGAGAATTCAATCACCGTTGTCTATATGGACTTCAGCAAGGTGTTTAACAAGGTTCCACGTGGTAGACTGGTTAGCAAGGTTAGATCACGTGGAATCAGGCTGTACAGGACATTGGTTAGAATACTGCATTCAATTTTGATCTCCCTGCTATAGGAAAGATGTAACTAAACTTGAAAGGGTTCAGAAAAAATTTACAAGTATGTTGCCAGTTTTGGAGGGTTTGAGCTATAGGGAGAGGCTGAGTAGGCTGTTTTTATTCCCCTGGAGCATCAGAGCCTGAGGGGTGAACTTATTGAGGTTTATAAAATCACGAGGGGCATGGATAGGGTGAATAAACAAGGTCTTTTCCCCAGGGTAGGGGAGTCCAAAACTAGAGGGTATAGGCTTAAGATGAGAGGGGAAAGATTTAAAAGAGACCTGAGGGGCAACTTTTTCACAGAGAGGGTGGTGTGTGTATGAAAAGAGCTGCCAGGTGGAGGCAGGTGCAATTACAACATTTAAAAAGCATGTGGATGGGTGGCCGAATAGGAAGGGTTTAGAGGGATATGTGCCAAATACTGGCAAACGGGACTAAATCCATTTAGGACATCAGGTCAGCATGGACGAGTCAGACTGAAGGGTCTGTTTCCACACTGTATAACTCTATGACTCCATAACTGATGGTAAACTGGGAAACCACACTTCCAAGCTACTGAAACTGGTCATACACCGAGGTTTAATGAAGCTGAATGTTCAACACTACACTGGCAGAAGTTCCTCTAATCACTGTCCAAATGTTGTGTACTACCCAACAGGCAGAAGGCTTTTGAGCAAGGCTAGCTAATTCTTAGTCTGCTTTAGATTCAAATCCTCTGGATTGTGGGCGAGTCCATGATCTTGGGGATTGATTATGCTATTTCTATCCCAAATATTCTGACCTAACATACATGTACCCTTAAGAGGGTGGGTTTTTTTAAAAAGTTTGTGGAATGTGGGCATCACTGGCTGGGACAGGATGTATTTCCCATCCTGGTTGTTGTTAAGGTGGTGGTGTGCTACTTTCCTGAACTGCTGCAGCCTATTTGGTGTAGGTAGATCCACAATGCCATCTGGCTAGGAGTTCCAGGATCTTGCCCCATCTACGCTGACAGAACAGTGATATATTTCCAAGTGAGGACTGCGAGTCAAACTGATAGCAATCACAGAATTAGTTTTTTAGTTTCACGACTTGTTTTCAGTCTGCAGTCAAGCAGCTGTTGAGATCAACTGTCTATACTTAGTCACCATGTGGAAACTATTCATATACAATCTTGTCATCAAAGGGGATGCACATTGTTATTTCACCAAGAGTGATTGGTACATTCATGTAGAAAAGAATGTAACACCATCATCTCAATTAAAGACAAAACCAATTCTGATCACTTGCTTGTACTGTCTGCCACTCATAACCTCCTTCCTTCCTCATTTCCTCTGCATTTGCTACTGTAAAGAACTTTACAACATGTGACTCACAATAGCATTTTCAAATTTCCATTGCCTAGCCTTTAACACTCTAAAGGCACAGGAAAATCTTAAAGGAATTCACCAGGAACACAACAGGTTCTGTCTGGGCAGCTGATGTAAGGAAAGTTGTGAATTTCCCCTACAGCTGCTGTTATGATGGAATAGGGTGCAAAGACTGTTTCTTTCCATACTCCAGATCCCCAGAATTCAGATTCTTACTGTATTGTTGACACTGTCTGCCCTTTGTTGCTCGACTATTGGCTGTTTATTATATGGCTCACACTAGTTGACCTTATTAATATTGGGCATGACCCCTTTCTAAGTCCACATTCACAGAAAAGCATCTTTAAATGGCAGTCAAGGTGGGGTGGGCTCTAGGTTGGTTATCAGGAGGACCTTGACAGATAGAGCAGCAAGGTTCTATGCCGTGGGAAGCTAGTGCAAATTATTAATTCTCCACTTAGGTTCCCAAAAGGGATGAGCTGCATCAGCGCAGATGAAGGACAGAATTTGAGGATTTCTTAGAGGGAACTCAAAATTGCAAACTATGTTCTTGAGCTTTGCTAATCAGGCTTACAATTCAGTTATGTTTGTAGGCAGTACAATAATTGGAGGTGTAGTTTTTCAGATGAGGATTGAAATCAAAATCCTCTCAGGTAGACTCAAAAGATCCAGTGGCACTACTAAGAAAAACAAACAGGTGCATTCTCCAGATCTCTTAGACAGGTAGTCAGGTAACCCTTAAGCAACATCAATAAAGCAGACCCAAAATACTGCAGATAGTGGAAGCTGAAATTAAAACAGAAAATGCTGAGCAGGTCTGGCATCTTTGGCAGTAGAGACGTAGTTAATGTTTCAGGTTGATGACTCTTGATTACTAAAGTAGACAATTTGGTCATTTATCTTCACTGTTATTTAGGCAATTTTACTGGATATAAATTGGCTGCTGCATGTCAGGAACAACAACTTCTATTTCTATACCACCTTTAACATAATAAAGCATCCCAAGCAATGTTCCCTGCAAGCTGAGAAACCCTGCATATATGCCACCATCTTTTGCCGTACAACTTCCACTCTGGTTTAAATGTACTACATGCAGAATTCAAGAAGAAGAGAAATTAGAGTCAATATTGGCTCGAAGACATTTCATTGTAGCAATAATGAGGAAAAAGGAAATCCTGAATCATATAAGGTAACACTAGGGCAGATGACCAAAAACTGATTAAATAAGTAAGTTTGAATATTTATCTTAAAGGAAAAAAAATGAGGTCCAGAGGCAGAGTTTATGGGTTAGGTAGTTGAAGGTTAGGCAATAAAATGATGCAGCGATTAAAATTGGAGATGCTCAAGAGATCAGAACTAGATGTGTGCAGATGTCTAGAGGGTTTTGAGAATGTAGGAGATAGGAAAGGCCACGGTGGGATTTGAAAAAAAAATTAAAGAAACAAGACATGGTGTGATTGGGAGCCCAGGTATGTCAGTGAGTACAAGTATGATAGATGGACTGATAACAAGTATAATAGGTGGCTTGGTGCGTGTAGAAACACAAACAGAAGAGTTTTGGATAACCTCAAGTCCATAAAGGGTAGAATGTGGGAAGCAATCCAGCAGGCTGTTGGAATAGTCCAGGCTAGAGCTGACAATGTTAAGAATGTGGATTTTAGCAGCAGATGGCTGAGACGGCAGTGATGTCTGGGACAGAAGGAAAGTTTGTTAGTATTACAGAGATGAAAATACAGTCTTAGTGATGGGATGATTGTGTGTTTACAGCTCATTTCAGCTTCAAATATGTTGCTTTGGTTACAAACAATCTCGTTTAGTCTGAGATAACAAGGTGTAGAGGTGGATGAACACAGCAGGCCAGGCAGCATCAGAGGAGCAGGAAAGCTGACGTATCGGGTCTGGACCCTTCTTCAGAAACAGTCTCTGACTGTTACCAGGGAGAAAAATGGAGTTGGTCACTCGGAAACAAATTTTTTGAATGGGGATAAAAATCAATGGCTTTAGATGTCCCAGTTTTTAATTGCAGGAAATGTTGTTCATTTGGTAGTTAAGTAGTCTGATCGTTTAGCAACTGTGGAGGAGTCAAGAGAGACGGTGGCAAGGTTGAGCTGCATTTCATCGATGTATATGTGAAAATTAACAGATTATGTCACAAAGAAGTATATAGTTGAGATACTGAAAGGATCCAAGGATAAACCTTTGAGTACAGCAATGATAATGGTGCAGGAGCAGTAAGAGAGGCCTTTGCAGGTGATGTTCTAGCCAGAAGAAGAGATAAGAATGGAAGCATATGAGCAAGTAAACTAGCAAAAAGAAAAGAAAAAAAAACAAAAACCTTGTGGAAAGGCACTGGAGGGAATTGATAACATGATGTGCTATGGTTCCAACAGTACCAGTGGTCACTATGGTTCAAAAATTTCATTCATTATGACTGGACTTTGGGATAGCAAGAGGTCAAGATAGGTACTATACAATGTAAATTAAAAGCAAAATGAGGAGAATGCTGGAAATCTGAATTTTGATTAAAGGCCTTTGAATTGAAGTCATAACTCCATTTCTCTCCAGAGATGTCTCCAGACCTACTAAGTAATTCCAGGATTTTTTTGTTTCTAATACAAATATATGCCTTTCCTTGTTTCCTTTTAGATCAATTTTAATTACAAGTTTGGAAACCTTTTCAGTGAACACTGTTTTTCCTTCCCTCAAGATGTTATCAAGGCTGAAATACCTATATGGGGATGGGCTCGTACAACGTCTTCCAGGACACTTGACAAGAAGAAACAAGTGAGGGACTAACAAGTAAACACCAATTGTGGAGCCTGGAGTGAACAAGTGATATAAAGAAAGAAAATGCTGCGAAATATTCAGCATTTCTCACAGCATCTACCAGGAGATACACAGTACGAACAGCAGAGATAGCAAGAACTGCAGATGCTGGAGTCAGAGTCAATACAGTGTGGAGTGGAAGAACACAGCAGGTCAGGCAGCATCAGAGGAGCAGAAAAGCAGAGGAGTTCTGAAGAAGCGTCCCAACCCGAAACGTCAACTTTGCTGCTCCTCTGATGCTGCCTGGCCTGTTGTGTCGAATTAATATGTTGAGCTCAGTTATGGCTCTTCCACAGAAATCATGGATGGTAACTTTCTTCACATTGTCAACCCGCGACAATTACCATCTAGGACAGCAAGGGCACCACCGTCTGCAAGTTCCCCTCCAAACGACTCACCACCCAGACTTGGAAATACATTACTAATCGTTTAATATCGTTGGGTCAAAATCCTGGAACTCCCTCCCTATCAGTAATGTCTACGTCTACCTGAACTAAGTGGACTGCAACGGTTCAAGAAGGCAGCTCACCACCACCTTCTGAAGGGCAACCAGGAACGGATATCCCATACAAACCGAGAGAACTGCGGATGCTGTAAATCAGGAATAAAAACAGAAGCTGCTGGAAAAGCTCAGCAGGGTCTGGCAACGTCTGTGAAGAGGAAAAAAAAATCAGAGTTAACGTTTCGGGTCTGGTGACCCTTCCTCAAGGTATCGCATGAATAAACGGGGAAAAAAAAATAGGGATTTAACCCTCATTAATTTTATTGCCTGGACAATAAAATACCACATCAATTAGATTATACTGAGAACTCCACCCTTAATCGCCAGGTCGTCCGCCCAGCCATGTCAACCATTTGGAGATCGTCCCGCTCGTCACGCGGATCCAGTGCAGCCAATAACAGCGCAGGTTGGAAGGAGGTGCGGGATGAACGGTCGCCTGTCAGCGCTCGAGCCCTAGCTTCTGTCAGGAGCGCGACTTGGGGGTTCGGCCCGCCTCTCAAAACAAAGAGGAATTTTAGACGTTATTTACACCCCTCCTCTCCCCTTCAATTTCCTTTCCACCTCGACATTTTAGAACGCTTTGCGTCGGGGTTGGGAGTCACCGCTGTTTTATCCCCGCGGCGCCCGCTCCTCGGCCGCGGCGGGGACGGGCTTTGCCGGACGCATGCGCGGGAGAGTGGGCTGTCGTTGGTGTTGAAGGAGGCTCCGCGCACGCGCACCGTAGTCTGAGGGAAGGAGTGAGCGATCACCGGCCGCCCCAACCCCCTCGAGTCCCCGGTAACTCAGGCGGCCCGGTGACCGTGAGATGAATCACAAAACCGGGCCGCTCACGGGGGACGATGATGACGACGGCGGCGGCGGCGACGACGAGCCAGGGAAGCCCGGTGAAAACCTACGATTACCTGCTCAAGTTCCTGCTGGTAGGCGACAGCGACGTGGGGAAGGGAGAGATCCTGGAGAGTTTGCAGGACGGGGCCAGCGAGTCCCCCTACGCCTACAGCAACGGTAAGAGTCGGTGGGGAGCCGGCGACTGCCAACCTTCAGCACGAGCAATCCCAGTTCAGGGTGCCGAGTACTGAGACCGGGAATTTAAAACACTTCATTTGCCCGATTAAAATCAGGTGTCTGCTGCATGTTTATCTTGGATGTGGCCAAAAAATAGAAACATCTGCGATGTGATACGGTGTGGAGCTGGAGGAACACAGCAGGTCAGGCAGCATCAGAGGAGCAGGAAAATTGACGTTTCGGGTCCTGATGAAGGGTCCCGATCCGAAACGTTGACTTTCCTGCTCTTCTGATGCTGCCTGACCTGTGTTCCTCCAGCTCCACACTGAATCGACTCTGACTCTAGCATCTGCAGTTTTGGCTATCTCCGATGTGATCGGGGTCAAAACGAAACGCCATTGATTCTTGATGCTTTTTGTTTTTTTTTGTAAAATTACAGCACGGTTCATTCCCAACGCTTTTTCGCTTGGAAAAGTTGCAACACGGTTTCATTCCTCAGGCTTTTAGGTTTGCCTTTGTTTTTTGGAAACTTCGTACTGTAGCGTAAACACGAATGTCAAACTCCCTCCCCCGGTTATCGTCTTCCTCCGGTCCTTAATTGTGGCTCTGTTTCCAGATTTCTATCCATCATGCTGTTTTGGTGTCATGTAAGTCATATAGGTTGCAATCCCGATTTAAGCTATTCATTGAATCATACAGTACAGAAGGATATTCCCTTACATATTTGTAAAAATTCAATATCAAATGTCTTTCATTGTGGAACATTACCAAAAGCCTGACCAACCTGCTGAAGTGCAGATGATACCGAATTCTTTTGGAGGGTTCGTGGGTTTGAATTAAAAAAACTAACACTCTGGACTGACATTGTAGCCTGCAGCATTTTTTTGTTTTGAAATTTAATTTAGTAGCTTTACAAAGTGATAGCTATTGATTAAGTTGAATGTTTGGAATTATTGTATTCCATCGTGCTATTTAGTGTGGCTGCTGGGTTTTCTTATTTATAGCTGAGGAATAGCAGAATTATTTCTGGCAAAACCTGATTGTGTGCATTAGTTATGTCAGTGACTTTAAAGTTCCCTACCTATTTTAGTTTGTGAAAGAGTCATGCTTGAAAGCACAAATTGTTCAGTGTCAAAGCTGTCATAAAGGACTGAGAATGCTATTAGCAGGTAGCACAAACTTCAGTGTACGTATCTGATGTCATGTTGCCAAGTCACCTGCACGTTTGGTTAATCTTTAGTATAAATAGACTCACTTGTTGAGTGGTTTTTTATTAATGTATTTGATTGTTCTTGCATAACATTGTTTCACAACAAACCGCTTTGACCTTTGATATTTTGCACTAAGATGCAAGCAAAGTAAAAGCAGATTATTTTTTAGCTGGATTTCTACAATTGAAAGTGTATTTTGGTTATTGTTGTGGACAAATGCATGTTTCAATTGAAATTTTAAAGATTTAATGCAAATGTAATTGACTTAACTTGAATACAGTACTGCCTAACATTTCAAGTTGATGCTGCTTGACCTGAGTATTTCTAGTATTTTCTATTTTTAATTTGATATTTCAGCACCTGCAGTGTTTTGCTTTAATATTTCTTTGCTGCAATATGTATTTTTTTAAATATAAACTGGGAGGACAAGGTGATTAGACCCACAAATGTTAATGCCCATCCTGAATAGCAGTAGTGGACTTGCAGGACTGATTTGCTTTTGTGTGACGTTGTACTTTACAACTTTGTCAGAACAAACAAGTCATTAATTGAGACAAATAAGTTCAAGTGGTAGCACTTGTGACCTTGGAGTTCCTAATTGTCTCAGGAGTAGTTGCTTCTGCTTTAGCAAAGTATTGTTTTGGTTTTGAATTGGCCTTTAAGGTTTCCTGTGACATTGATTTTCATGTAATACCTATAAAGTTGTGATAAATGCAGACTGACCCAATTTGATCTTTGGTTAGAGACAAAAAAAAACTGCAGTTGCTCAAATCCAAGGTAGACAAACAGGAGGCTGGAAGGGTAATACCCGAAACGTTGACTTCTCCTTTCCTCCAGATGTTGCCTGGTTTGCTGTGTTCCTCCAGTCTCCTGTTGATCCTCAGTTGCAAGTTAAGGTGTACTTTCACAGTATCAGCATGTGTTTCATGCTTAAGGTGTCTGCAGTGTTTCATCTGCTCATAGACTGCACGAGCCTGTATTGTATATTGAATGCTGTACATGCTGTATTGTATTTATCCCATGATAAAGATAGAGACTCATGTTTTGAGAGTTCCTGTATTTTTGAACTGACTACAGCAATGCGCATAACGTGAGGAATTTTAGCAATGGAAAGTAAATGGGAATTGAGTGCAAGATACTGTAATCCAGATAGTGTAGGGGCATGCCCTCATCACTTTCCTTTATCACTTGTATCTGCCCCATGTTTTACCATTCCAACTTGTATTTTAACCACCTGTGTAGTTGCTTAGAAAAGCTGGCTTTTGTCACATGGGATTGGACCTTGATGGTGTGTAACATGATGCGTGGTGTCAGATGGCAAATTAAAATGGGTTTGACCAATATATTAGCTGTGTTATGCATGTGTTCATTTTTTTCTTTTGTAACCTTCATTTTGTCTAGCTCTAAGTTCCCTGGTAATTCTGTATGACTGCCAAGTAATTAGAGGTTTGTTGTATTAAAACTTGCATTTTATAGTCACTAACCTCCTTAGCTCTAAGTTTTTTTTTTGCTAGCTTGCTGCAAATTTCTTTTCATTCATGATGGGAAAACCTTTGTTCTTAGTGGCCTTTTTCCAATTCATTTTTTAGATGGGCATATTTATTAATAAATTTAAAAGTATCAGTTTGTCACAATCATTGTAAGTGTCTTTACAATCAGTGGTAACGTGGTTAAAAAAAATCTTTAAAATAAAACAAAACTGCAGATGCCTGAAATCTGAAACAAAAACAGACCTTGCTGGAGAAACCCAGCATGTCTGGAAGCATTTGTGGAGAGAAAATGGAGGGCCACTGGACTGAACGTCAACTCTGCTTTCTCTCCAAAGATAGAACAAAAATGCTGCCAGACTTGCTGAGCATCTCCAGCAACTTGTTTTTGTTTAATAAAAATCTTGCTCTGTGCCTTGCCTTTAGCTTCACTGTTTTCCAAGTTTTTGTTTTAAAGCATCATGTTTTAACTTTTGTTTTTACAAAAACCAAGAACTTGGCTGGACATGTGATGCATATTTTAGCAGTGGTCTGGTCTTGACACTCTTGTTTCTGAATGAGCTTGTGAATTCACAGTCCACTCCAGAGATTTGAGCTGAAAACCTAAATTGATATTGCAGCAAAATATTGAGCGTTACACTATCTAATGCATTCAGATGAGACGTTAAACCAAGGCCCCATTTGCCCCTTCAGCTTGAAGTAAATAATCCTATTGTATTTGTAGGAAATTAGATGTTTCCCTGGCAACTCTGTTTACCCATTGCCTACTTCATTAAATTGCTGTTTATGGGACGTTGCTGCACATAAATTGATTGTCTCCTTTACATTAAGAAGTTGGTGGTGTGGCAGAAACTGAAAGCAGTGGCTTCTGTCTTTTTCAATATTCAAGGGAAATTTTGTTCTTCCAAGGCTGCATGTTGAAGCAGAAATTCAGCCAGGAGAGGTGACACTAAGTCAGAATCAGATATTGTCTGAACTTAGTTTGAGTGATATCACAGTATCACATCTAGTTGAGAGCTATAATAATCCATATGTTTACGCCCTTAACTCCAAAAGGTGCGGACTTAAGTATTTCTGACACATAACAAATCATCAGCCACCCTGTCTGATTTGACTGTGCTCAGTATTATCAGGTTTCTATATTCATCTGGATATGGTGAGGTAAGGTGAAGTTGAGGTTGAAGAGCTTATTGAATGGAGGGAATAGGCTCAAAGAGCAAATATTCCTAGAGTTAGAGAGTAATACAGCATGGAAACAGGCCCTTTGGCCCAAATTGGTCCATGGTGCCCACTCAGCTTGTTCCAACTGTCCACATTTGGTCAACATCCCTCAACCCTTCCCATCCATGTACCTATCCAAATGTTGTTTCAAGTATAGGAGAATTCTATATTTTATACTTTAAGCCATCTACAAGTTGGAGTTCATACTGTGGAAGGACAGCTGCCTTGGATGCATTTCATCATTAACAGTCTGTACTGTTTCAACTAAAGCTGCTTTTTCCTCTCTGCCTTTCCAAGTAAGCCACATGTTCCCCAGGCTCCCTACTGCTCCTGTCCTAAACATCTCTGTATCCCTAGTGTCTCTGTCCTGTTTCCTCTATATGCCTTTTCTGCAAGATCAATCTTCTGCAATAGAAAGCTATCCAACTTCTGTTGCTCTTTCACTGAGTATTGTTCCCATTCCTTTCAAAACTGTCACTGTCACCACCACCTTGCTATGTTATTATTAATTTTCAATCAGTAATTTGGATTGAAATTGGGATGTGGCAACAATATTGCAGTTGGTTACTTTACACATTTTGGGCTCAAAGAAGCAAAAGGCCACCTACCCAGTAAGGTAGCATTAAATAGGTTGAATGGTGCAAGTGTATGAACATCATAAAGTCATTGAAGTCTGTAGCACAGAAAAAGACCCCGTGGCCCATCAAGTGCACTGGTCAAAAGCAAGCACTCAACAATTCTAATCCCAT